TTGTATACGCTTAGCACCATCATCTTCCAAAGACCTAGCGTTGGTGAGCTGTGTATCAATATTAGCCAATCATTGGGATTGAGAGTCTGAAGTCATCATACAAGCATAGGAAGAAGATGTAGTAACATAATTAGCCAAATTAGTCATATATGAATCAATTCGCCTCTTCAAAGCTGAATGGTCTCCATGGAGTTTTGCGAGTCCTTCATAAAGAGTTTGAAGTTTAGGTGCTCGAGACGATATTTTGTCGGTAGGAGTATCCCGTATAATACTCTTTATGAAATCAATAAAGCATAAAGCAGGACGACGATGAACATCAAGAATGATTTCTTCCGCATTGAAAATTGACATTTCGGAAGGGGCAATACGATGCAAGGGTGGACCATGTTCTCTTATAGGCAAAGAAGGAATAGCTACATGATCTGTACCAACATTTTTAACCACCTCCATAGTTTGACTAGTCACTTCAGCAATCCCCAAAACATCCGAGTGTTGAATAGCTCTGCTTCTTTGTAGTGAAATGTCTGCATCTTTTCCTATTGCAGTGGCCAATGCTAAGGCAGATGGTCCATAAATAGATTCTGTACTACATGTTGGATGAGCAACAAAGACGACATCTTCCCCGAGAAATCCCTCGTTGCCTTGTGACTATTAAAAAAAAAAACATAATGGTAATTCACAGTAAAAATAAAAAAAGTACCTGTATAGGTTGTGAACTGCTAGGTACCCCAGTAAAAAATCGATCAAGAGAAGTGGCAATACATTCCTGTACTGGATCAAGTCTTATCTTATCAGTGACATGCTTCCAGTTACGATCCTCATCGCATTCACATCCTCATCTGAATCCATTGCTAACTGACGACGGCGACGGTCATTGATTAATGGTGGAACATCTTCTGCTGTTTGGTGATGACTAGTAGACCCCCCAACAACACCACAAGTATTATGACCCTGGCACTGGCTTCGATGAGAGGTTTGACTTCAGCCCCTTAATTAAAACCTTCCCGATTTTAGTTGGTTTCTCTGGTGGGGAAATCGTGCGTTTAGGTTGATTTGAGGTAGTTTCTTCTTGTGTAAATGGATCAATATATACGCTGGACCACCATTTGGCATATGCTTTAGTAACTAAGGACTTCTGGTGGCTGGAGATTGAGGGAAGCAACGCATCACAACCAGAAGAATAATGAACGGATGATTTCCAATGCTTTAAAAACTCCTCTAAGGTGCAACTACGAAAGTTATTTTTTAATTTTCTAGGACTATCATGGTGGTACCCAAATTGTCGGCTAAATCTATGTGGAATATACAACTCAATGATGAGACAGTCATTTTGGCGCAATGTCAAATAACATGATCGAAGACTGATTAGGGTGTCAGAGTCAGCCTTTATCAGTTCACCATTATCCACAATGAGTCGCTGTTTTGAAGATCTTTTAGCCATATGAGTTAAGTTTATTCCTTTACATAATTTGAATAAATTTTGTGCTTCAAAATCGTCAAAGTATCATGCTCTTCCTTCGCCTGCATATAATGTCATTCTAGGCCAATAGTTGATATTAGGAATGGTGAAATTAGTTCTAAAATATTCACTTAACCATCCAAATACATAATGTATAGGAAATATTGCAGAGCAGCTTCCAGGATCTGGTGAGGAAACAATCTCATTTAAGCCTCTGTAAATACTGGCCAAAACTGGGATGGAAAGACAAATATTGCAGCCATCTGCTAACATGCTCGCAACCTTGAAAGTCCTAGGACGAATCATGTTGCCAGGGTGTGCAGGCAAGGCAAATTTATAGAGCCAACATGCTAAAAAAGCAGCTAGATAAGTGGTGTCTCTCGATGCTTCATCTATACAAAGGTTAATAAATACTTCCTTCTCTTTGGTGGACATCGGCTGGATAGGAAGGATCACACCAGATGGGTTTTGAGTCCTTGTAGGGCGGTGAACTTTAATTTTTGTTGTTCTCTTTGAAGGTTTGACATGTCTTGATGCACCTTTAAACCAGAAATTAATCCAGTCAGATATCTTTACTTTTTGATCTCCTTTATACTTCTTGGAAAGTCTGTGGAAGGCCAAAAATAGGTGTTGACAACTCAAGGGGGGAGAATTTTTGTTGTTGCCGGCTCTTGAGAGTTCATCTGCGCAAGGAATAACTTCATCATAAATTGTTCCTTGATGAGGGAGACCGCCTAGCATATACAAATCTCGAAGAGAAATTGACAGCTCGCCAATAGAACAATGAAGAGTATTAGTGGCTGGGCACCAACATTCAAGGAATGCTTTGAATACATCTTCATGACGATCATAGGAAAATAGAGAGGCGAATAGAGCACCATATAGTTGCTATTTTGATAGAAAGTCATGGAAACGTGCCAAGACATCTTCTAACCACTCCCAATATAGTTCGGTGTATGGCAATTCAGCGGAAAGTTTATAGGGAATACTTCATGATATTTCCTTCGCCTGAACATTGAGACCCAAGAGTGAAAACTGGTTTTCCTCAACAACTCTCTCATGAAGTGAAGAATTTAGTATCAAGGCTTTAGAGACAATAGATTCTTTATTAATCTGATCAAGACCAATGTTGGTGAGTTCGCATGTGGCCATGCATGTCCAATGAGATGAACAAAGTTTATTGTCAGGATCAGGCACTTGAATAGCATTGCGACCAAAAAGTGAGTCATATACACTTAATGTCGTTCCTTGGACTCGTTGACTATTTTCGCTCTTTGAGATAGTCATCGTTTGTTTTGCGAAACATTTGAACACCACCATGATGGAATAATAAAGCTCGATCGATGTTGTCTAGAAGGAGGATTTCAAGTTCTGCTATGAAAAAAAAAATAATTATTTTTAAGAATAATTATCATAATATAACCGGCCCGGTCCAGTTATGATATTTTCCTTATCAGAAAGGACACGTGTCATCATCCCATGGATCCAAGAATCCTATAAATAGAGGACTGGAGGAAGGGAGAAGGGGACACAAAAAGTCAGAATTCAGAAATCTAGAATTCCAGAGAGAAATACAGAAACTCTCATCCCCAACATCCAAACCCAAAAGCGAAGAACACCAAGCACATCAAATCGTGCCGTGCTTCATCAAATTCCACAGTGATCAACAACAAGCACAACCAAAGACGTGCTGTTCTTCAGCAAATTCCACGGTGATCAACAACAAGCACAGCCAAAGACGTGCTGTTCTTCATCAAATTCTACGGTAATTCAAGAACAAGTTCGTGCAGCCCTTGGATCCAACCAACCAACAACAAAAAGGAGATTTAATCAGAGGACCAGTTATTTCTTTTGTAAAGAATATTACAGAGGATTGTACCTCAATTTCTCAAATTAATAAAATTATATTATTTGCTCCATATTTTGTTTCTATTACAGACTTACAAAATTTGTGTGTACACCCATTATATTTTATAGGGTAAATTGTAAAAAACCCCCTTCAACTATTGACCATGTGCAATTAACCTCCCTGATCTACAATTTGCCCCCTTGAACTATTGAATTTGGTGCAATTGACCCCCAATGTGACATCTCCGGCCAATTGGTGTAAACGAAAATAGTAAAAGACAATTTTACCCTTTAAAAAAACTACGTCGTTTCAGTTAAAATTTTAACAACAAAAAGCAACGTTATCATCTAGGTATGACATGGTGGGTGTAATATGAGCAACCACTTAGAAATTGACAACACACATAACCTTATCACCATAACTAAGACGTGGAGGGCGTAATCTCACTTCACATCTATCCATCTATCCACGTCTTTCCAAACGGCTGAAACTCTGAAGAACCAAACGGCTGAAACTCGAGGAACTGAAGAAAGCTTTGTCTGTCTGAAGGGATTTTTAATCTCTCAAGGGTTACTCAATCAGTAAAGCTCTCAACTTTAATACGTTAATTTGTAACTGTTGATGTTATATACATGATACGATTTTTCCGCTCCAAACAGTATACGATTTTTATCTTTTTATTTTAGGGTTTAGGTCTGTAAAATGTTAGATGGGTGTTTCAGTTTGGCCGACAATATATATATATATATATATATATTTGATTGTTTTTTGTTTTGTCTGTTAGTATTTGTTTGTTTTATATATAAATGTCTTTGGGCCAATGTAACTAAAGATTTACTAAAAAATTAAAACAAAAATTACCCCAACAGCCTTTGACAACATTGGTACCAGCGACGTACATAGAAGTAGTAATACAAAACAGGGAATTCTAGGCTTTGACATTCACTTGACAAATGAAAATTTGATCAATTTATGGAATTTTTTTACCATAAAATAGCTATTGGCAGCAAATATCACATGAATGGAAATTGTAGTATATAATGGAATTGCACTAATAACATGTGTAATGAATTGAAATTTCATTTGATTCAACAAAAGAGATGCATAGTATGACTAATTACACACACACACACACACACACACATTCTGGATTTAAATAATGATGAATAAGAAATGAAAGCCTCAGCAAGATTCTGCTATTTTTTTGCAGGCTTTAAGTTAGCCTTTTTTTTATGAAAAGAAAGTGATATGTGGAGTTTTTAATAATGCTATAGCACTGAAAGTGATAGTGGTCCCTTTCTTCAATGATTGACTGTTTTATATTGTTGAAAGCTATTCTTTCACTATGTTTCTGTCTAATGGTCCCTTTATTCTATAATTGACTATGTTTTATATTCATTATGGGTTCTATCGAGTGGTCCCTTTCTTCTATAATTGAATAGTCATTGTTTTGCTTTTATATCACTGTCTATAAAAGATTAAAGTGTCCACCTACCACTGAAAATGTTGTATGAGTTTAACTGTACCCTGTGATTGAGTGGTCCACATTATTGAGTTGTCATTAAATATGTGTGTTCAGTTATTAACTTTTTAAAAATATATTTGTTTGTTATTAATTGAAATTTGTTATTGTTGATGCACCTTTATAGCATTGAACTTCATCATGGGGGTGTTTTCACAAAAACACCCCAAATGGCATACCTAGGAGAAGATAAATGCTTCATTGAAAGTGTAGATCCAGACATCATGTCTTATGATGATATTCAAGACATGGTTGACCAATTAGGTTATGGGGTGATTACTCAAGTATTTTACACAGTACCATATTTAGAGGGTAGTCAGAAGTTCAGAGAAATCAAGTGTGATTTGGATGTTTTGAGAATGTTTTATGATTATGAAGCTCAAGGAGAAACCAACTTGATAAAGTTGTACATTGTTGCACCTTTCTTGAATATGCAAGGGTATGAGGTTCCAATAGACATTGCTGAAAAAGAGGACTCAACTAATGATTTTGAACAACTGGAATCAGACTATGCTCCTAGTGATGAGTTAATTAGTCTATGTAGCTCTGATGAAGAGGATAGTGGTCCTATGCAGCAAGAATATATGCCTTCAAGGGATTTAGGGGTCAAAGAAGTAGAATTAGGCATGAAATTTGGGACTGCTGCAGATTTTAGATTGGCAGTTAGGGAAACAGCATTAAAGAAAAGGTTTGATGTAAAGTTTACAAAGAATGATGGAGATAGGGTGAATGTAGTTTGTAAAAATGAGTGTGGTTGGAAGATTTATGCTAGCAAACCAGAGGATGAGGATTGTTTGATAGTGAAGACATATGTGACTGAACATACAAACTGCCTTTGGTTTCAAACTAATTCACAGGCTTCGTCTTCTTACTTAGCTAATAAGTATTTAGAGCAGTTGAGATCAAACCCAAAGATGCCTCTTCAGACACTTAAGAGGACTATTGCTTGTGAGTTGAACATTGATGTGTCAGAACACAAAGTCAAAAGGGCTAAAAGAAAAGCATTGAAAGTTATTGAGGGAGATGAGGCAGAGCAGTATGGCAAGATGAGGGAGTACTGTCAGTTGATCTGTGCATCTAACCCTGGCAGTGTTGTTAAAATTCAGACTGAGCCCACATGTGAGGAGAATGTGAGGAAATTTCAAAGGGTTTTTATTTGTTATGCAGCAATGAGAAATGGTTTTAAAGAAGGTTGTAGGCCACTAATTGGTGTGGATGGGTGTTTTCTAAAGGGGCCATATGGTGGCCACATTCTCAGTGCAATAAGTATTGATGGGAATAACCAAATGTTCCCAGTAGCCTTTGCAGTAGTGGAATCTGAGACAAGGGATTCTTGGAGTTGGTTTATGACAGAGTTGATGGATGCTGTGGGGCCTTATGAGGATATCACATTCATATCTGATAGGCAGAAGGTTGGTATTTGATATACACACTTATGAAACTATTTATTTTCAATATATATTTGTTGAACTGTATTTGATATATATTTACTATTTTATTGTTAATGCAGGGTTTAGTAGACACCTTTGAGAATATCATGGTTGGTTCAAAACACAGATATTGTGTGAGGCATCTCTATAAGAACTTCAAACTGAGGTTCAAAGGGCAGCAACTAAAAATTGAATTATGGGAGGCTGTAAGGTCATGTACAGAAGCAGATTTTGATGCACATATGAGGAAGATACATGAGTTAAATGTGGAAGCTTATAGGTGGCTTCATAATGTGCCATCTGAATTATGGTCAAAGTCAGGTTTCTCATACTAGTCAAAAAGTGATATGGTGATCAATAACATGTGTGAAAGCTGGAATGCAATAATTCTTAAAGCAAGGGATAGACCAATTATGTACATGTTGGAGTGGATTAGAAGGCATTTAATGTTGAGGTTCCAACAAAAGAGAGAATGGATGGAATCAAAGGATGGCTTATTGTGTCCAGAAGTTCAAAAGAATTTGAACAAAGTGAAAAACATGGCAAGGATGTGTAAGGTGCACTATGCTGGTAATGACAAGTATGAGGTTCAGTGCTTTGGTATAAGTGAGGCAGTTGATATTGGGAAGAAAAGTTGTAGCTGTAGGATATGGGATTTAACTGGTATACCTTGTAAGCATGTTGTAGCATGCACATTTTTAAGGAAAGAGGTACCTGAGTCCTATATGGATCCATACTATCACAGGGAAACATATCTGAAGGCATATGGTGGTTTAATCTATCCTTTTCCAATGAGAAAGTTGATAAAATTAGTACCCCTTAATCCATTGCTACCACCAACCTACAAGAAACCCACTGGTAGACCCAAAAAGGCTAGGAACAAGAACAATGATGAGCCTAGTACTTCAACTAAGCTCAACAGGTCAAGGGAAAATTTGAAATGTTCAAAGTGTAAAGAAAAAGGGCACAACTCAAGGACTTGCAAATTAGCTGCACCTTTGGTCATTGAGAAACCTCCACCAAGAAGAGGAGGTAGACCACCACTACTTGGAAGAGGAAGAGGTATTGCAATAAGAGGAAGAGATATTGCAGTGAGAGGAACATGGAGGGCAAGGAGGGGTGGAAGAGGAAGAGTTGCTGGAAATGAAATCCCTACTTTAGTTCTTTCAAACCAGAGTCAACAGGTACACTTGCAAATCCCTACTTTATTGCTATTATTATTATTATTATTGCTACTATTTTCTACTTGCTACTTTATTTGCAAATCTCCTCACTTGTGTATGTTATTGATGATAGGTTCAAAACATTCCATTTTCTCAGCTCACATCAACACAAACATCATCTTCTAGGTCAATGATGGATAGTGACTATGCCTGTTGGTAGTGAAGGTGTTTGCAGCTTTTTGGGGGTTCATAGTACTGAACTGTTGTTGGTTTCTGTTGACATGAAGAACTTAACAATGTTTTTTGTTGGCTAATTGTAATTGTTAACATGAAGAACCTTACAACCTTAATGTTTTGTTTGCTAAATACTATTGGTAGGCAGAAACATTTAGCTTATAATGCTACTTTGGTTGTGTAATAAAAGTTCAGTACCTTTTCTTATTACATATGTCTAGGTATTATACACTATGAGTTGTCATTATACATGTCCAGGTATTATGCTTTTTTGTTTGTTTTAGAGTTAATTACTGTAGTGGCAGATTTTGAAGGTTGAAATGTTATATGAGTTGAAAAAATTATGCTCTCAATCAAGTCCTTATGGAAATATGAGATTTTAACTGAGATGTTAATCTATGCTTCCTACTTATGAGAGTAAAAAATAAATTTTTTGTTTTTTTGCCAACAAATGGGGATATACTTTTAGTTGATCTACAGGCTCAACAAAGTACTTTTTGTGGAATCCGTGATGTTGCGAAATCATTTATGTTGGTATTACACAGATAGCTTAGTCTTGCTCAACAAAGGAATTGGATTGTTTGGGGATGCAAATACAGTCTCGTGATGCTGTTACTTCAAGGATAGAGGAGTTGTAAGAACTAGCAAATCTTATAGTAATTTACAGTATCCATAATCTTCATACTACAACAACAAATTCAGTGAATTTGCTTAACAACTCCTAACACAAAATGAAAGTATACCAAAACAAAAGACAGCCTTACTAACTCCCAGCACAGACTTTTCACTTAAGAACAAGAGCAATAATTAAAACTACAAAAGACAACCCAAAAAAAACCATGCTTAACTTCAACATTCCCTTTACAATTGTAATGAACTCTGCATTCATCTCTGCATTTAGAAGGATCTGATTGTTTCCAAAACTTGGTGCGTGAGCAAGACGAGCTGGTACAACTTCATCTTCGTGCAATCCATTATTCCCAGAAGCATCTTTGTGCAATCCATTATTCCCAGAACCAGGTGCAATCCACCATTCCCAAAATGTGCAATCACCAGTACTGCACTTGAAAAATAGCTTTCCCAGATTGTTTTTGGAGTCAGAAATGTATACAGAACACTTGATACCACAAAAGCATTTCATATTCTTCAAATGGACTTCATCTTCATCTTGTGCACCAGGTGGAATCCGCCATTCCCAAAACTTGCAACGACGTGTACTGCACTTGAAAAATAGCTTTCCTGGATTATTTTTGGACTCAGAAATGTATACAGAAGAGTTGATACCACAACCACATTTCCTATTCTTGAAAGGACCTCTAAGAATTCCATTGCTGAAAGAGGATTCACCCATGGAGCTCATTATTTGCAAAAAAAAAAAAAAAACAATGAGACAAAGCAAAGCTTCAAAGCAAAGGTGAAGAGATTGGCCCGGAGCTCCTCAAGGCGATCACTCAATCGAAGATCTCAATCCCAATCTTCTCCAAAAATTACACTTCCAGTAAATGGTGCCTTTGCGAGCCCGCAAAATCTCTGTGTAACAGCACCTAATTTGAGGCGAATAGGATAAAAATTTGTTGTCTTACCACTAACAAACAATTTGTTAGGAATCAATAAATAACAACAAAGAATAGACAGATCCAGCCAAAATAAATCACTATTAACAATCTTGAATTGCTAAATATTAGAAAAAGATACATACACGCATATACATATATATACAACAAAATGAAAGTCAATTTGTGAATAGAGTTAAGAGTTTGATACTCTCACCTATGCAAAACCTTGTTAAAGCGATTAGAGAGAGAGAACGCAGCGAAGATTGTAAGAAATCTGTCCTCGTGATTATTTTAAATTTTCTAAAAATAAAAGTATAAGAAAAAGGGTAAACTCTATAAAATGAGAGCTATTTTGATGAAACTATTATTAAAGATTGGAGGGAGGCTGATCGAGGAAGACAAAGACTCAATAGTTATTTTGATGAAACTATTGTTAAAGATTGGAGGGAGGCTGATCGAGGAAGACAAAGACTCAATTGATTTAGGTTTTCCTGACCACATAAATAAGGCAGTGTTTGGTTAGGATTTAATGGTAATAAAAGGGGTATTTTGGTCTTTTAGCTTCATAAAGGGTTGTATGGTCATTTTTAGAAATTTGTATAGTCACGTGACCCATCATGTGCATCTTCACGGTCAAATTCAACCAGCGTATCATCGGACGGGGTAAATTGCACCAAATTTGTTAGTTCAGGGAGGTTATATGTCAAATTAGTAGATCAGGGGGGTTAATTGCACATGGCCAATAGTTGAAGGGGGTTTTTTGCACTTTACCCTATTTTATATGATGTTATGAATGAATGTTGCTATTATAAATTGGATAGGGTTATTAAATTGATGTTTTAGTACACGTATTGATTTGTGGTGAGTAACAATGTATGTTTTGGGATATATGAGGCCATGGTTTGGCATCCTCAATTATTTTATTTGTACATTGATGTAGTTGGTTCGTTTGGCAATGTAATTTCCAAAAGTGACATAATTTATTTATCGTGATTTGTTTTCGCATCATATTCATATATTTAGAATTGCCTTTGCATGAAGTACTAGAATATCAATTAGGTTCAAGTAGAGCCCATCTGATAGGCGTGTATTTATAGACTTGTCATTATCATAGGCACTCCATATCAAGATAAAATACCTATAATCATTTAACTAAAAATGTCTAATGGCAAGTAGGGTCGAACCATGTATTCAAGTGAGTTTTTGTTTTCGGACAAGCGATTTTTAAAACATTGATTTTAGAGTTAGTCACTAATTAGAAATGAATATTGGACAACAAATATTTAAAACAATATTAGATTGAGAAATTTCAAGTATATAAATTAGGAGCAAGAAACTGATGAGTAATAAAATAACAATGCATTGAGAAGAAAATTACAACTAGAAACCAACAAGGAAAACTCTAAGAATCTATTATATCATTCTATCTATTCTCTATCTCTACTCCTAACTTTGCCTCCAAGTGTGCAATTTATAGCCAAAGGAATAAACCCACTTGTATGCTTTGATGATGGTTTTGCCCAAATTTCATTTTCATTTCCTCACGCCACCTCTCTGTTACTCTCATTGTTGACTTTCCATCTCCTCCTTTTCATCATTCTCTTTTTCTTTTCCTTTCTCTTTCCATCTTCACGTGACTTCCTTCTTTCTTCTTTCAAAATATAATATATATGTATATATATATCTATAGTATGCTAATGATGATGTGGCATGCTGACTAGATGGAGGACCAAAAAGACAATGCTTCTTGTTTTTTGAAGGATTCGAACTTGGAAATTCATGAAAGATTTTGAACACAATTCTATCTCAGCTACAATGCTCCTTGTGTTTTCTTTTGCTTAGTAAAACATTTAACCTTCTGTGCTTTGTTCTCCATTTTTGCTTGCATTATTTCCATTCATGCATTAACACTTACAAAACACAAAACAAGCATATAAGAATATTTAAATAATATAAAAGTCTAATTAAAAGCTTATTTTGGTGCATGAATAATAGGTCTTGTGTATTTATCAAACTGCCCCCAAACAAGCTTTTGCTAGTCCTCTAGCAAAGAAAGGCAAAAATAGATAAGTTCACAAAAAATATTACTTTTATTAACAAAAAGATGTGCCAATTTCGCAGGCTACTTTCGATTGCATTTACCATATGCAATAAGGCCTTAAACTACTAGGTTACCCCTAGTGGACGAGTTATAACCTCATGAGGTTTTCCAGTACTCACAAGCTTCCAAAAAATTTTCTTGCATATGAAAAGTTTTAGAGATGAAAATATCAAGTTCTTTATATACAACGAGTTACTAAGGTGTTATAAAAACAAATATTTCATGAAAGTTCACCCATAAACAACCTAAAAGTAGAGAGTGTGTGTGTGTGAAGTCGGTAA